ACACTGTGTGCTGAATCTGAAGTCATTCAGTCCTGCTGCAATTTAAGGTTCAGCACCTCAGAATTTCAAGGCGGACCATTCCATTGATTGAACATGAGTTGTCCAGACTCCCAACATGAGATGACGACAAACTTCAAAAAACATCTACTAAGAGTTGGCTGGCTGTCTAGTCCAGGCACATTGGAAACATAGGCTTTCTTCTGCGCAACCGTCTTCAACTTTTTGCGAATCTGTTCATCAGTGATTTTGGTGTTGATGTAATCTGTCAGCGCCATCCACTCGCCTTCCTCGTGTGAAGGGTGACAGAGAGGGCTGGTGAGGGTCTATGAAAGGACCTGGTCTGGTCATGTTCAACCTGAACAACTCCAACAAAGCCAACCATTGCAGTCCTGGTATATGTCACAGTATGATTCATCTTTGCGCTCTGTGTAGTGCTTGACGTCCACGGATTCATGCCTGGGGCGTGATCCTGGATTGCGTGTTGTAAGCTTTATGTGGCGTCGTCGCAGGGACCTGAACCTCATTTGAGCTGAAGAGGGCCACAGAACATCAGCACCACCTCAAAGCCTTCCCAAAGAAACCTCACCTCCTCACTCCCCAAGTAAAAACAACAAGATGCTGTGCAAGGCAAAGTGACTTTGTTTTCAAAGCAGGGTTCTTGAAAATCAAAGTCCGCAGCTCAGCAGCATCCAGATCTTTGAAAGAACCACGGCGTATGTAGTAGCAACGAAGGCACTCACCTTTTGCACCTCCCTTTGCTGGCGCTACCAAAAGAGGTGTGCCCTCAACAGCATCCTGAAGATTCAGCCAGAAACTGCGCATTTGAGGGGACTCATTTGACATTGGACCACTAACAGAACCATACCAACATGTTGAACACTTGTCCTCGTCTTGCGAGTTGAACTGCTGCATGCACTGGCCGCAGGTGTCCTCAGGCCAGTCTGGCTCATCTGCTGAGAGTTCATTCTGTCCCGCTTGCTGGTCTTCCGAAGCCGAAGCCATCAACACCACTGTCAATGATCGCGAGAGCAAGGCGTGAACGAGTGGGATTTTTAAGTGCCAAAACCAACTTCAATCACGCACGATGCACATGTGAGGGATATAATATAACTCAACTCAACTCAACAAGGTAACTCGTAATGGCCAAGAAGCATTGGTTCTGAATGTCAACATTTGACTGACCCAACTGACCCAACTCAAACAAAAGCAGCAAGTGGAACGTACATTCTAATGACTACGCAGACCGCAACTCACGACCCCGTGACTTCCTGTGGGCTGAAGCAGACCAATGCTCTGCAAGAGGGAAAGAAGATTAGTACTTTTTTTCTGCTTCAAATCTGTGGTGGAGTATGCCACGCCATGCCCTGTTCAAAATCATGTGCGCTGAATGCATGCCATGGTGGCGAAGAGCACGGGCAAACAAGAGACTCTAGGCCGTGTGGCTATGCCGCTGCCTGAGTCCAAAATACAAAACTTCAACTTGGCTTGCTTCCCACCAAGCTGATCAACGAGAGGCATCGGCTTGAGTGTCTTCATGGGTCCCCTCATTGTCCTCCTTGACGTGGCTGCTCTCATCACGCTCAAACACGCCCGCCAGCACGTCCAGAACCTTGTGCAGGATGTAATTCACCTCTGCTGAGGATTTGCCATGCAGCTCAGACTGATCAAGAAGAACCTTAGTGGCACTCTCTTCCAGCCCCTCCTGGACCACCCAAGTGATAAAGCAATCCGGGTGGAAGTATAGTGTCACGCCACCCATCTCCTGCCAGGTCCAGCCAAAGCGAACTGAGTCTTTCAGAAGCTGTTTGCCACACAGACTGCAAAGGTCTCCATCTTTCGTGACTATGGTGATAGAAAAGGATCTCATCGCCTCGGAGAAGTTTTTTTGCAGGGCTTTGTCCAAGGAGCAAAGTAGGGGACTCACTCCTGACAGGGGTGCTAATCTCCCATGAATCCTCAGTCTCAGTGTCGCTGCATGAATCGAAGAAGGGATCATCAGGCTCTGGACGACCACGACATGGATCTGCCTGAAGCTTGATGGCTGGATAGCCTGCGTTTCCTGGAAAAATTCCAGCCAATATAGTCAACAGTATGCCACCGCAAACTGGTACACTCCAAGCATCTCCTGTCACAAGCAAGTAGCTGACAAACACAAAAGTGTCAACAGTCCACAACTACAAAGGCTCAAGCACGGCAAAAGGCATTGAAAACATTACATTCATGGAGAAAAAGTTGGCGCCTATCAACGTGTTGACCTCGGAGTATGTCATGGTGTCAAGGTCCAACTTGTAAGGATCAAAGCCTTGCAATACGCACAAGTCCTGCACCAATCATGAAGGACATGACACGCAAACTTCAAACTCGATAATGTATGAGGCTTGGCGCCTGACAACAAAATCAACATCAGTGTCAAGCCACAATCAGAATCGAGATGCCACAAATCCAAGTCCTGTTTTTCAGGATTCAAGCAATTTGCGAGGATAATTTTAACATTCTGAATTAACAAACTCCTGGGCGGTCAGCAGCTCATGGGTATCCCAGTCGAACAATTTCACTGAGGTGGACAGAGCTGTGGTTCTTGATCCTGTTGTAAAGGCCATTCTTGGCAAGGAACCTCAGTTTTGCTTTGCTAGGTCTAGTGGTACTGGTACTGGGTTGCTGGGTACTCCACAAATGACTGAGGCTGAATGATTCATCCAATTCAAATGAGGCTGTAGCGGGCCAAATCTGAAACGCATCGAGCACCTGATGGGTGCAGTCCCTTAGCCTTGGTGAAGTGATGTGAAGCTGCAGGCACACGGGCACAACAAATTCTGACATCGCAACAAGAAAGTTGAAAAAAAAAAACAGTCCAAATCAGAACAACTACTTTGCCTTTGACAATGGTTGACAAAACCAATTGCAATCAACCAATAAAGTTCTCAATGTGAGTCTTACCAGTGAAGCCCATGTGATACGAGCTCTACCATGGAAAATGCAGAATGTACAGGAAACACATACTGTCAGATCACCCATTTTGTTTGGTCAGTGACAGTGTGTTCATATAGTTAAAGTGGCTGCTCTTAACCAAAGTACCAATACACTATGTTCAACAATCCACTATGCCTAAGCCTAAGCCTAAGCCGTTTTCTTGTATAAATTCCACAGTGGGGAAGTTTCTTTGTTAATTAAACTGTGTTGTTCAATTTGCAAAATTATGTGTACCAGACCCTGACTGTGTGTGGTTTAGGTGTTTTTTTAAATGTAAGTTGTAAGTACTCAGACTTTCGTGAGAGGCTATGGCTATCGGCTACATGTACATTTACCAGTACAGTTGCATTTGATACTTAGCTTAGCTTCACGCATCAGTTTAAAGCTGTGGCTGAAGCCATTTTTTAACTCATGTAAATAAGTGGATAGCCAGGATAGCATACCATAATATGACTATGACTCTGACTCATAGTCAATGTTTATCTACGTCAACCGAACCGTCAATCATTCTTTGTCGGAGTCATAGTCATGAGTCATAGTCATGAACTTACTTTAGTTAAGTAAGTTAGTTATAGTCAGAGCCATAGTCATGTCATAGTCATAGTCATAGTGTAGAACAGTTTAGAGTTTAGACAGTACAGATGTCAGAAAACATTAAGTAGTAGTATTAGTAGTAGTAGTAGTAGTAGTAGTAGTAGTCGTCGTAGTAGTTGTAGTCGTCGTAGTCCGTAGTCTTGTAGCACTAGTAGTGGCATTTCTGCTAGTAGCAGTAGTAGGAGGAGGTTATGAATTACAAGTGTTACAAGGCAATATGGCAATATCATATCGTAATAGTCAGAGTCATAGTTAAGTATAGTCAGTAAGTATTATATAGTGTGATATATACAGTATAAGTTTAATAGTTAGTTGTAGTTATAGTCTAGTCATAGTTAGTTCTAAGTTATAAGTAGTTATAAGTTATAAGTTATAAGTAGTTCGTTGGTTCTAAGTTCCAAGTTAGTTATAAACTATAAATTATAAGTTATAAGTAGTTTATTTCTTACTATATAAATTATGATATGTTAAAACCAGGCATATTACAAATAGTTCAAGACGGTTTAAGACGGTTTCGAACTATTTATAAACAGCGGTTTACAAATAGTTCAAAACGGTTTGAAACGGTTTCGAACTATATATACAATCCAAACTATTCAAGACTAATCAAGACTAATCAAGACTAAGTTGAGACTAAATGGGTTTGGGCAGTACAAATAGTTCAAAACGGTTTAAGACGGTTCCGAACTATTTATAAACAGTGGTTTACAAATAGTTCAAAACGGTTTGAAACGGTTTCGAACTATATGTAACATGTTCAGTTGATGTTTGGCATCATCAGCGCGACTAAACTATCATTTTCTAGTCTCCAGTAATGAGTCTTAGTTTGCCTAAATGACTATTACTTAATCTAACACAAAACACACAACAACCAACTACTACAACTACAAATGAATTGAGTCGCGTCAAGTCTGAACGAGCCTTCCTCTTGGATGAAACACTGTAACAACAACAACAACAACTTAACAACTGGACAAAATGAAAAATCAGCTTGGGTGCCTTTATGAGTACGGCGTGGGCATCCAGACAAGTCTTCTCACGAGTGTTCAACTGGGCTGAAATCTCCTCATCAAGGGTGGAGCTAAACCTTCTGCTGCCAATGACACCCCATTGGCGAAGAAGCGCCTCTTCCTTTTGCTGGCCCTTTTCTGTGCGGCGCCCATCCTCCACAAAAAGGCAATTGTGGGGAGTTTGGCAGAGAACAGGGGAGGGGGAAAGGGCCCTATCAAAAAAATGAACAGAGACTATCGATAAATCTGGCAAGACTATCGATAAATCCTGTGAGACTATTTATAAACCCTGCTTTGGAAGCCCTTGGAAACCGTTTCTAAGGAGCCCATCACCAATTACAGGGACCCTCCAGGTGGCAAGTTCCCCTCTGGACCAGGAACAGTCCTTGGACTTGGGGGGGGGTGCAAGAGTCCCCCCAGAGGAACTGTCTTCACGTACTCCTTGACCTCCTGCACGGAGCTTTGCCCCAGCTGACTGGGCAAAGCTTGCGTCACCACATGCACCAAACCACTGATTTGCCCAGTGTCAGCAAGGTCTTTGCGAACCATCAATATTAAAGCCTGGACCTTGACTGTGGCAGGCCAAACTCCCGGCTCCTGAGACGCAACTCTCTGAGAGCATGAGTCATGTGTGTGTGTGACTGTGTGTGTGCTGTACAGGCATGTCCTATCAGTCTGCCAGTCTGACTCTGAGTCACACAAATTCTTAACTTATGACTGATGTGATGTGTTTTGCATAATCCTTCCAACTTCTTAGGGTTAGATTAGATTGTGGGTTCTGACCTTCGCACACTGCTTGTTGAAACCGCAAATGAACAGTCATGCCCAGAGGGTGCCAAGTGTCTCCATAGTGAGCAGCTTGATGTGATATTCATCATCCAGATATCGAAGACCAATCTTTTCTCCATACCATTCTCCACGAAGCATAAACTCCAGTGGCGTCTGCACAGGTTGGAGATGCTTTCATGGGCCACAAGCAACCACATGTCTTAGCAAACCGCAAATGTGGAGTCGGATCAAAACAACATCACAGTAATTCCTTGGGTGGACTCTCCTGGGTGTGGTAAGGTGTAGGCCATCTCTAATCGCTATAGTGTGTGTTTTTTCCATTTGGGGATTTTATGCTACCTGCTGACATCTGACATCTCCCTTTGTCTCTGAAGAATGAATGCAATACAATACAAACAAACATCATAGTTGCAAGTTGCATGGGAGTAGCATTTAAAATTGCAACAATGCGACTCTTCTGAACGACGCATTTTCAGCAAGCACTCGTTATTCACCCCGCAGAGTTGCTGCTAAACCCTGCCAGCTAAGTTCAGGTTCTTAGATATAGGATCATATGATTGATATGATATATGATATATGGATTACGGATATTAGTTTTGTCCCTTGAAATATCAACACTACCACCTGTCAGTGATCACTCTCACATGACTCACATGCCAAAATCATAGCTGGCATTCTGTCAAGGTCCTGCAATTGGGACCAAGGCTGGATGTGTAAAATCTCATGGCATTGAACAAATCTTGCTGCCAACCCTCAACATACTTTTCCAAGTGCTTTGCACCACATGTGAAGTTCAAGGTTGAGCTAGTCACCTGCAAAAGCATTGAGCACCCTAACTGCCTCTGCTTGCAATCTGGACTCTGAACTACTGAAGCTTCTCTCAGAAATTGCGGCAAGCTTTGCGCGAGTCTCCGTCTTGAGGTTTGCAGCAGTGGCCTGCTGGTACAAGCACTCAGCATGCAGCCACCCGGGTGGACGCAACCTGTTGTGATACCATGAATAGCGAACATCATTTTTTGCGGATACTCCCCTTGCAATACAAACATACTGATCGTCCTGATGCTGCAAAGCCTGTATCTTCCAGGCCAATTGACTTGCTAAAGAAAGTGGATCCTTTTCTCAAACTTTCCAAACCCTTCTCCTCATTGATTCGCTCCACAATGGTCTCCTTAGTGGCATCAGCTACTGCAATCTCCTTCTCCAAATTCAAGGCAATGCGCTCTTCTGATGCCACTGTATCAGAAATAGGGTCAACTGGGTTTGCTTCAGCATCCAGGTCAAGAGTGTTGCGGCCGTGATCATCCCTCTTTGCATTAGAGGATGCTTCAGAGTCAGAGCCATGGCATCTCTTGGAGGTTGGCTTCGCCTTCGGCTTTGCCTGCTTTCTGAATCCCAATGGCATTTTTTTGGCATTCTCCTCCGAATTGATGCCTTTAATTTCGCAAGCATTTTGGGTTGAATACTTGGCCTTTGTTTGTCAGGCGTTGAACTCACAATGAACTGGTCCACCAATTCTTCAGCACACGCAGTGAGCAAATGATTGTCAATCCACTTCATGCTGTACCTCCACACTTGCACGTCGATGTTGATGATGGAATTTGGATCTTTGCCCGCAAACTTTCTGAACAGCTCGCATGATGTTGAAACTCTGGAATGCCATCAGTCGACTTGAAGAGGATGTCACCATTTTCATGAAACACCACACGCAACAGCGTTTGCAGAATTGGCTTCTTCTGTGTGACACCCAACAAGCAAGCGTAGGATTGATGCACTGATGAACTTGAGAAACACAAGAGTGTGCCAGGTTTCAACTTTCTCTCAGCAAGCCGATGCTTGAAGGACTTGGCAATCTTGTCCATGAGTGTTGAGAATGCATCTGTTGCACAATGTTCTGGTGAGCATTGGTCGCAAAGATCATTGCTGTTCACACCCGTGCATCCTGGCCCACTATGTAGAGAAGATTCAAGGAAGCTGGAAATTGCCTCATCACTGGATGCCAAGTCAATGGCCGTTTGCCTCAACGCCCCTGAACCTTGGATTCGACTCCAAACACTTCACATAAAACATATCATATCACATATCATATCAAAGTCGAAGCAAATTCAAGTGTGTTTCAATGAAACAAAGTAGAGCCTGTGTCCTATCTGACATTGTTTTTTTCTTGAGCCAACCCAAATCAACAAACAAAGATAAGAAATCAATCCATTGCATACTTGCCATGCCACTATCAGCGTACTGTGTCTTCACGCTCCACAAAGGATGGCCTGCCTGGGCCTGGACATTCAACTGAAGCCTCCTTGCAGACAATTTGCTACATCCACTTTTGCCCACCTGGTTTTCCAAGGCCTGAGTTTCAAGGTCTTGACTTATGGCCAAAGGCGTTGCAGCCAACTTGTCACGCAACTGTTGTTGGTGCGCAGCTTCGAGGTTGTAGGGTTCCCTTGCTTCATGTCCCAAGCCCTTCCATTCAGCACTGACCTCTTTGACCTTTTGGCGGTACTCAACAGGATTGAGAACTAGGCCACTCATTTTTTTCCTTTTGGAAAATGTTCCAGCCAGACAAAGAGCGAAGACGCCGGTTAGCAGCTGTGTCTGTCCGAGCTGCCTTTTCTGCAGGGGTCTCTTCAGAGACGCGGCTCCTTTTCTTCTCCTTAAAACAGCCATGCCAAGTTGTCAGCATGATTTAGTTGCCTTTTGTACTAAGAAACTTGACAACTTGAAATCTATGAAGAAAACAATGCACAAACCTCAGCCTCAAACAACACCATGTCCATTTCAAAATGCTGTTCAAAACAAGCCAGGCTCCTGCTTGCCAAAGTCCTTTGAATATTGGTTGGTACTCTGAATGCCACTCATCTTCAAAATGCTTGAAGAGGTTTTCCTGGAAGGCATTGTGTCTGCGTCTGCCATGGGCTTGACAAAGTCAAACTGCTTGATGCATGCCTGCAGAATGCTGGTTTCTCGTGCGGTGGTTGGGTTCTTTATTTGCTGCTTGCCCCTGCGTGATACTGCCCACTGAACAACTCCATTCTTGATTTCCACTAAGTCAGATGACAAAGGGATAGTCCCAGCAAGATCCAGGAGAACCTGCTTGATGATTGAAATGGCAGACTCCTGCTGCGCAGGTGAAGCTGATAGCAGTTCACTCATTGACAGCTGTGAGAGCAACACCTCAGTGAAAGTGTCATCAACGCACGAACTGCAGTTTGCACGCACCTCATGCAATATCCGCCATTGCTCTATGAATGCAGCAGTTGAAGAATTGGCCAGTGAGAATACAGAAAATGGTGGACGACTGAATTCATGGACCAGCCGCCGCCAACAATCTGAAATTCCGACAAGGACTAAGGTGAAGGCCAACTGCAACAAGTCTGGGCGGCTTTCAATGTCCATCCCCATGTCAATACTCTCAGCAAGCTCCTTCACAAGGATGCTTTGGTAACGCACCATCAAGTCCCTGCCAAGATCCCCACGCACAACTCGGAAGAATTTGGCCCTGCTCTTCTGAACCAGCTCATCGTACTGTGGGTCAACCCTGCCAATGTTTCCAATCTGATGCAAGATTTTTTGTCCGTGAAAAGAGCTCATTGATTGCAATATCAATCGGCTCCAACAAGCATGCCATGATAATTGCATGGTGGTCAAAGTCCTGATGGCTCACAGCTTTGAAGATCATGTTCTTCCGAACTGAGTTTTGCAAACTGTAGGAAAGATCTGCGTCCAAGATGCCACCAATCAAGGTCTGCATTTCTTCCTCTGTGATGTGTCCAGCCTTTGTTGGGGCAATTGAGCTGTCTGACAATAGACTGTCGACCATGGAGGCAAGCTCGGATGAAGGTTTGCTGCCTTCCTTCATGCCATTGAGGATTTTTTGGCAGGATGCGATGAAGGGTGCATGTGAACTTGATGTATGAGATGGCAGGTCCAAAGTGTTTGAACCGTGATAGGAAAGGTATGGGGTAACCTTTCCCCAGGAGTGGGGCCAGGAGTCTCAAAGCTTTGCTCCTTGCTTGCTCATCACTCTCACAGCAGCCCGTGCACCAGTGGACCATTGTTGAGCAACTTGTGTCTCCATTGAAAAAACTGGAGAATCTTTTTAACGGCTTCTGCTGCCTCTTTTCCTGGCGCTTGGTAGTTTCGAGAAATCCATTCTGCCCGCTTCTTCCATTTGGGGAAATCTTCTGGAAGCTCGTGCACTCGAATGCCTTGGCAATAGATGGGCCGTGGAATGATCTTGAAATTTGCAACATGCGTGTGAACTAGTTAGATAGAGATAGAGCCGGTTTGAACCCCACTGTTAGAGTCAATCTGTGAATTCAAAAAAAGGATAGGCTAGGCTGGCGTGAAAAGTAGATATGCTTTCTATCCAAGGCTAGGAACACTGAAAGTCTTCACTTTGCAGCACCTGCACCAGAGAAGCCACAAAACTCTGACGAAATGAGAATGCTTCAAAACAATGGGCCATTCTGACCAGTGTGGCCCAAAAGCCAGAGATGCTCAGGACCATCGGCTTGCGTATCAGGTTCAGCTGGTGGACCAAACATTGGACTTGGATGGCGCTGACACGCTCATGGTCAGCTTTCTCCCGCAAAGATCCAAGGAGCCTCCTCTCAATCTTCCAGGATGCTGCGTTGGCTTGAAGGGCATCGCCAACAACGACTTCAGTTCGGAAAGCATGCAAAGGTGCCACATCTTGCTCTGCAAGTCCAAACTTTTGCAGCATTCCCCCAATTACATGTCCACATACCAGTGACATCGCTGTAGAGGCTGCGTGGATGTCCCCAGCTTGGGGACTCGCCAAAACCAAC